GACGGTGTGGGCCAGAAAAAAACTAACTTTTACGATTAAATGGCGTTCTATCTGACTTTGCCTTCGAATTGTAGATACGAAAGCTTGTAAGCACTATTGTGGGCAAATTTATTAGACAGATCCTTTAAAGATAGAAAGATTGTGAAAGGAGATTTCTATAATGGACAAACATCTTGATAGGTAGAACTACTTGGAATTAAAAATGTCTGGGCTTTTAAAAGTATATAAGGAGCATAAAAAGAATGGTTGTAAAAGGTAACATTTTAAATATAATAATGTAGCCTGTACTATATTTATATACTGTAAGTCGCTTGTTGTAATTTATTATATTCCCCTATCTTATCGAGTCTGAAATTAGTTGGGCAATCCGGAAGATAAATACGCGAGTAAAGCCGTTATAAATAATAGTAATATTGTATTATGGTCGTAACTTCGTGTTTTGGAGAACACTTAGAGCGGTCATAGTGAAGCTTACTTAAGTGTGGCAACATCGGAATTATATGTCAATTTTCAAAAATATTTCAACGTTTATGACTTCAAAAGTGCTCCGTTAGCGAACTAAAAAACATTCTGTGCCGAGGCACACGCACAAACTAAGCAATATTCAACAATTATTTTAATAGAATTAATAATCAAATTAAGGATAAGAGCTATTTCCAGTGATCTTGGAAAATATAATAATGAGATAGGTTATAAAATAAGAAATTTTGCATCCATGTCCACTCTATAAGGCACTAGAAGGCGACTTCGTACAAACGTCGTCTACATGGAAAACTGTTATGCTCATGTTTCTGCCATAAATATTGCATAGTTAGCCATTATAAAACCTATATGATGGGTGGAAACGGTGGTCAATTTGACTAGTAGAACCACAGTATAAAGAACTGTTACACTGTTATAGTACTATAGACTTTACAAAATACACTGTAATGTTCAAGGTACTTATTCATGCCTATAGGCGACCGTTCTCACTAGCAATCAAGTGGACAGGAAATATAGGCAAAGTAATTATAGTTATCACAATAGACAGTAATTATGTGAATAAAAAATATCATTATTCCAGCATTAAAACTCTTAACAGTTATTAAATAGGAGGAATTAAACATAGATTTCCTTGTAGCGTTTTACTCGGGCGTAACGACTTCATAGTTTATAGGTCAATTCATTTCAATTAGCCGAGATTTGTTCGCGTTTACCAACTGTTACAAGTTATAATTGTAGTCGTGGATTAAATTAAACGCATTTTTTAAGAGCTAAGGGACTTACAGAATGACTGAATTTAGAGTAATTTAGATAATAATATATTAGAATACGCTGGACTTACGTCTAGTCCATTTATTTTAAAGGGATTTCAAACAGGAGGAGGTTCAATTATATCTTTGCAAATTTTAAATTGATTTTGATAATTCTTTGTAATCGATAGCCTTGAGCTCTTTTTAGTGCATATTAATTTTATTATAATTATTTTTTTTACGAAGTTGAAACTTAAATTATTTTGTATTTTTATCTATTTTTTTGGAAAAAAAAATTATTCAACATCTCTCTTATATCGTTGGCATAAAATGAGCCATGGGATGGGTAGCAGCGTCCCTCTTAAAACGTCATCAAAGCCTAACCGCGGTTGCCAACTTGCGGCCAAGCGTGACAACTACTGGCAAAAGCCCCTAACAGAGAGGCCTATGTTCAGCAGTGGACAGTTAACGGCTGGTATGATGATGATGATGATCTCTCGTATTTTGGAAACTGTATATATAATTTAAAATAGACACAGCTATAGACACAGAATAGATTTATTAGACGGAAACATCTTAATCTTGTCGTAACATTATAAATATGATAAATTTGGTATACGTTTACTATTGGGGATAAGAGATGGAGAAAGATATACGCTAATTTCTACCTTCGCCAACCAACATAATATCCCGATTATGATGAAAAGATGAGTTAAAATTTGTCGTTAATGTTTTTTTTAATAGGTAAGTAAGAAATAATAATCCCGCCTGGGCCATCGGTATACGCCAACGGGACACCAGTGAGAGATGATAGGTGAGGATGAAAGAAGGTCAGTTAGCACATCATGATGAATACCACAAGAATTATCCACGATGGTTTGTAGGGAAAATCGCGTGGAGATCGACTTGATAGAGTATATTGCTAGCAATAGAGTTGTTAGACACTATTGCTAACAATCCCCCCTCCCTCTTTAATGATTTTACATATGTAAATGCGAGTTTGTTTAGCTCTTAGCGTTGTAACAGCTAGTCGAATCGGTATGAAATACGAGTAACAATAAACTTAGTATTTGACCTGGAGAAGGACATAGGTTAATTTTATCACACACGCGGAAGAATTCGCGGGTCAAAACTAGTTAACAATAATTCCCTAAAACACACTCTCTGTCAGATTTTCGAATGTTCAAACATGACATTTCCATCAGTCGTACAAACGCGACACCTACCAATAAGACCCGGTAACCCCACTCGAATTAAATTGTGATTCCCGTCCGTGTCATGTAAGCGATCCTTCACGGCACTATTCGAGTTAAATTAATAATGCGGGGGCGGAAACAAAGTGATAATTAAGTTTCTGAACGGTACATGTACCTGCAGGTGAGATTACATCGCCCGCTGTCTAATACATACATACATGCTATTATGGAAACATATATGTTTAACAAGTAGATGTGACCATGTTAAAAAAATATTAACTGTTACTACTGTGCAATTAAATTAAAAAGCAAGAAAGATTACTAAATTAAATTGAAAATTAAATAAGTTTAAATCTTCATAAATCCTAAATAGCCGTCCCAAATGAAAACTGATAAGAGAAAAAAAAATTCAAATACCTATACAATGATATACTTAACATAGTTGGACGAGTTTCATTTGTTTCATGTCATTTCATTTCATTTGAGTTTTCACAATACGAGTATGGTGTCTGGTTGTAGCGCCACAGTGCGCTTGATCGCACAGAGATTTCACTTGAGAACTTTATACTATACATTATCCTTACCAATATTATAAATGTGAAAGTGGGTTTGTTTGTTTCTTATCTATTAGCATCTTAAAAACGGCTAAATCAATTATTATGAAATTTGGTATACACACATTATATCGCGGCCAGTGATCCTGTGTCAGTGTGTCCTGGTCACGCGGACGAAGTCACGTACAAAAGTAACGTATATATATATATATATATAATCTTGTAACGGCAGCTTTAGGAATTGTAATTCTCGATGATTGTCGCCGTATCCGTGATTGTAATCAAACACATAGGGTATAAACGTATTTCCATCCGCGATATTTGAACGTTCAAAGAGCTGTCATTTCACCCCGCTACAAAGCCAGAAACTTGTACCCGAATTAATGGCGTTCATTACAATATACTTTGATAGATAAATATATATTATCTGTTAGTACTTAGGTAAATCCACACAAAGCTGTGTTCCAGACAATTGCGCATACTGTTGATAACTTTCCCCGCGGCGTCGCTCGTGTTGCTAATCTAATTAAGCCACGTCGCTTCAAACTCCTGTGGGATTGCGTGTAATGCCACATATATATGTTATATGCGTACAATATTATATATATGTATATATGTAAACGAGATATGGAAGCAAACGAATGTTACATTGAGGTATTATATTGAGAATTGTTACTCATTTGTTTGTTTATTTAGGAAAGGGAATTTTAGATGTGTGTTTGAACGATGTTGATTGTATGATATAATGTTTCCTTGTTCAACGCTTAATGGGGTTCGTCGACGGAGTCTTCATATGTTTTGAACTGATAACACGACAAAGAAGTTGAAAGCCTTATAGGAAAATTTCTAATGAAGAATTTTTGCTATTACCGCGTTTTTATCCACGTCTTAGTCGAAATTAAAAATGTCATTTGATTGTTTAATACAGATTGCAGAAATTTCTTGGCTATCTAATTAATAAGAAAGATTTACGCGATGTCGTGTTAGGGAGGGGTTATTAAGTTGTATTGTATTGTTTGCTCGATCGATTCTAATAAAATACAACTGCTATTGTTCTCACTTGATTATAAAATTAGCGTATAGCGCGGTTTCAGAGATGTTTCCTTCTATGAACACTCAAGTTATGAAATGAGCTCCATGTCGAAGTTTTTCCAAGAGACTACAGCATGGGGTTCTTTAAAAAAAATGGGAAAGAGGTTTCTTCAGGGTCGACAACCCCTGGTATTGCAGGCGTTCAGGCTATGGTAACCGCGTATTAGTGGCTTAGGTGGGCCGTATGCTTGTTTGCCACATCAGTGGTATAAAACTAATTTTTCATACGACTGCTGTCTACATACGATTTGTAATGTCAGAAAATGTATTGACAGACAGACAGACAAAACACACTAACGCACGTTTAAATTAGCAACAGGTTTAATGTTATAGACAAAATCATTAAACTAACGATAAAAAAATCTACCACTAAATGCTATGTGATTTTATTTTATTATGTATTTGAAACGAGAACTTAGATAACTTTTACTTAATCTTGATTGTAATTGTACATCATATATATTTACTTTTATATGCCTCTGGTATTACGGGTGATCAAGAGCGGTGCTAATCACTTACTGAGCCGCATGCTTGTTGGCCTATTATAAAAAAAACAAAAAAAAAAACTAGTAAACAGTGTTTTCAACTAAACAAGATTTAGCTGGAAAAGAATGTTTTGTTTTCTGAAACTAAACAATGTTTTATTTTACGTTGCTGTACTAAAGAGGTATTATGTATGTATTTATGTAGATAAAGAATAGGTATTTACGTAATACCATAAGAATAAGATTTATTCTTATATATTTATTCTAAAACGACAATGTAAAGACAGAATACAATAGTAACTATTCTTTATGTTAACGTCAATACGATAACAAACTCTAAAAAACAAATTAACATAGAAAGAAACATAAATATATATAAAAGAGTAGAATCAAGAATCTCTTTTTTGGAGTTGGTTAAAAATTTAAAATGTATATACGTACGGTTTGCACTCGGTTTTCACTGCTTTCCCGGAAAAGGACCTGTCGAGGTAAGAAATATATAATGTAAAGAACCACAACTAAGCAAAAGGTCTTTGGGTCCATACGGCCACAGTGTTCGTAGTTTCGTGAAAGAATCGAATTGTGATAAAATCGGAACTACATCGAATAATTGCTCGTTTACAAAACATCTATATATAGAATTGTGAAATGTGCTGCTAAGACCAAAATTCGAGGAGGGCTGCAACAAATCGGGCTAAAGCCACCATTTTCAATTTATATTTCCTAGACCAACTATTTCTACATAGTGGCCATTTGTAGTCAGACAACCACAATTCAATTTCATTCAGCAGAACGACATCTGCCGGCTCAACCAGTATATGATAATAATAAGAGCCACACAATCACACCAATTGCCTGGTTCCCAACCAAAACACCTAATGGGAAGTAGCTAATGTGCTTATGAATATTAGCAACGCGAGCGAATCTGATTTAAGGTTTACTCGATGTGATTTCGATTTAATCACCGATTTTGAAATCCCTTGATTCGATTGCGTCCAAAGTTACTCTTTACTTTAGTCCTCTAGTGCGGCAACGTTGCCAGTATAATTTAATCAACATTGGGGATCTTGGGTCTACCATTTTGTACCAAATAGCTTTTTCACAGCTTGGATTTCGGGAGTAAAAAACTAATGAAATAGACTACTTCTAGATGGCGTATCAAGTTAAAATATATATTTGGTTTTAAGTTAGGCCTTTATGAATACAATTGCATCAAATTTGATGCAGTAGGTTTTATGTAATACCGGAACAAACTACACGACTTCAAGATAGACAAAATATCTAAAAAATATTGTTTTGGTATCTATTGGTCTTATTAAAACCTTTTTTATTGATTTTTCTTAAATATCCATGTAGAGACGTTTATTTTATTTATTTACGCTCAGGCTTTTTTTTTGATGGGTGAAAATGGTATGGTAACCCCGCCTGTGCTAACGGGATATGCTGGCGGAGCACCAGTGAAGGGTGATAGATGAGAATGAAAACAGACCAGTGAGCCCATCATGATGAATTCATCAGAAATTAACCATGATAGTTTCTAGGGAGAACCGCGAGGAGGTCGACCTGATTGGATATATTGCTAGCAATGGGATTCTCAGTCTCTATTACAAACAATCCCTTTCCCCCCTTTACGCTCGGGCTGTGGAATGAGTTCCCGATGTTTTCCATAGAGACTATATAGTATGGGGTTTTTCTAAAAGGGTATATTAAGGATTCTTTAGGGTCAGCATTGCGTACGTGACACCCCTAGTGTTGCAGGCGTTCATAAGCTACAGTGACCGTTTATCATTAGACGGGTTGTACGATTGTTTGCTATCTTTGTGGTATAATAAAAGGCAAACATATAAAAAAAAGAACAATTACATATCGACATCGTCTATTTATTATATTGCTAAAAAGGTAAGATATTTTTTTTTTATACAACTTAGAATGGCAAACAAGCTGACGGCCCACCAGATGGAAAGTGGTAACCGTCGCCTATAGACATGAGCAGTAGCATGGACATAACAGAGTATACTGTTTCGCCCATGATACCCCCCATGCGTTGCCATTTCTGAAGACTCAGGTGTTATTCCCCTGTACCCTGTAAATTTACGCCATATCCCACCCTTCAAACCGAAACACAGCCATGCAAACAGAACTGCTTCACGGTTGAAACATGAATGGGACAGAGGTACCCAAGCAAACGACTTTTGTACAGTCTGCCTCTAGTAAGTTTTTGTACATAGACTACTTATCTTTTAGTTACTTCTAAACAACGGTTGTTATTGACTGTCATTTATTTAAACAAAATGTACAAACTTGTTCATGAATCAACAATTGAAGTAAGGGCAAACGAAATTACAATAAACTTTGATTGTTGACGTATAAACAAGTCTCTGTCTATGTTACGTTTAATATTCAAGTCAAATGTGTATTTAACCTCGTCTCGCATAACCTTTCATCTTGTGTATACCGTCATATTTGATGAATGTATAACGTACTAAGTATAACAAAATTGTAAGGAGTGAATATTCTGTACTTTGAGATTTTTTTATAAAAATATCTCGAGAGACTGGAAATTAAAACTTTATTAAAAATATTGCATTTAAATCGTAACAATTTTTATAGGACACAGAAGTAAATAATTTCTTTTATGGACGAAGATGCACTGTTATGCTATCGATGTATACAAGCGGAATACTAAGTGTTAAATTTGTCAAGAATTAACCACGATGGTCTCCAAAGGAGGTGATAGGGTGCTTTACTAGAAATGGGACTATTACACTGCATTATTAACAAGCACCTTCCTTAGAGGATATTTCTAGGAGATTGTTTAACATAATATATTAATAGTAAAAAGTCTAAGTGTTTTATTCACAATAAGGATACATTTTATTATTACAACGTCAAACAATATCGGTTGCAAAATGAATTAAATTAAAATCGGTTCAGAACATAGGATAGATAGAGAACACCGTATGACATACCTAAATATGATAAGAGTGATCCTCAAAAAACTTTCAAAATATGGCCTACTTTTTCCTAAAAATGGCGCATTTATTGGATATAGGGCATACAGGGTATTAATCTTATTATTGGTAATATGTAACACAAAACGTCATCTTATTTATTCGTACTTATAATATAATCATTAATACAATATGTACTGTTGTATAGAAACGATACAGCGACACTTGGACTGTAGTGCGACCATGAAAAAGAGTTTTGGATCAATTAATTTCTTTTTACCACTATGGTGGCAAACAAAGATACGGCCTATCTGATAGTAAACGGGATTACAGTTGAAACAATGTCAAAAACTACAAATATTGCCTTGCCATTAAATTCTTGTTAATCAAATACAGGATAATATTACCATTATGCATAGTCTACGCGTATAAAATTCCGGGCAAAAACTAGTCAAATATATAATAGACTCATTTTTTCCGGACTTTTTTAAAATTTAATACTTCTTTTAGATGTAGGTAGGTAGTCGATTACAATTTAGTCAAGCAATTAGTTTTGGTTATACCGTAAACAATTCAAACACGAGTGTTGACATTCAAGTGTCATTTATACTAAGCAGTTAATGGCTACATACATACATTCAGAGATTATTGCAGGTACTAGCACTGTACTATAGTAATAATTAATTGCCTTGCTAATTACTGTCTTGACTGTGAAATTTGGTATAAATAATTAAACGTAAAACGATATTTAATTGCAGTGTTATCTACATTGTATAATACTAAATGAATCATATAATTCTGGATCTAACGAGTCAGATTCACTGTTAGGTCTTCTCAGATTATATGTTAGGATTGGATATAATTAGAAATTCCAAATTATGCGCAAAAAAACTCAGTTATCTCAATCGTAGCAAAAAGTAATTAAATTCCATGAATTGTAAAAAAAATAGAAAATCGATTTACAATTGGCATAAAAAAATAAAAAACAATTACTATTTTGAACTCTTTGTAAAATATTTATTATCTATACGTAATTTCGTAAATATAGTTACAAAAAGTTGAATACAGTAAATGTCGAGTTTTTAGAGGTATCAGATATTCCAAACTCAACCTTTAGAATGTAAAAAAAAATGTTTAAATAACGATTTTTTAAATCAATAGAAATAGAGTACTTTACAAGTAAAAGAAAAAAGAGTTTCAGTTTCAGTAAAATATATAATATAAATTTATAAATATACCTATAACTATTGTAACTGATTAAAAATAATGGCATGTGTGCGCGACAAAGGAAACCAGGAATGGAAATTGGAAATATATGTATAATAGTCAAAGGAAGTTAGAAGACTAGGGCCGTGAAGGAAAGTCAAAAGGAAACAATAGATATGCGTGTCAATTTCGAATTTGGTAAATAATATACAGCTATAAATAATATATGTGGCCTGTACTTCACATATTGCATGCATGTGTAAACTTACAATAATAATTTTAATATAAATGTAACTTTACCAGAGGGAGACTTTGTACAAAAGTTGATTGCTTATGTACCTCTGTCCCATTCGTGTTTCTATCGTGAAGCAGTTGTGTTTGCATGGCTGTGTTTCGGTTTGAAGGGTGGGATATGGCGTGAATTTACTGGGTACAGAGGAATAACATCTGAGTCCTCAGGAATGGCAACGCATGGGGGTATCATGGGCGAAACAGTATACTCTGTTATGTCCATGGTACTGCTCATGTCTATAGGTGACGGTTACCACTTTCCATTAGGTGGACCGTCAGCTTGTTTGCCATTCTAAGTTGTATAAAAAAAATTTATAATTAATATTTAGCAATAATAATAATAATACATGTAAAAATGTTACATGCCAAACTGGCTGAATGTTATGGCTACACAAAAATATATAATATTATCTCAACTTACCACATTCATTGCAATAATATTCATTTCATTCCATTTGCAAATTGACAAATAAAACGCGGCAATTATTTTGTTTGTAAAATTATATTCGCAAACGTAGAATTGGTAATTGTATATTTACCATGGCGTGTGCAGAGAGAGATAAAAAATCGTTCTCAAATTGGGATGGAATTTAGAGCTTTAAATATTCATTTACATAAATTGTTCATTTTTTACTCTATTAGGTATTATTATTATATCAACCGTTTACTGTCCACTGCTGAACATAGACCTCCCTCATAAGGAGGGTTTTGCCAGTAGTTGCCAAGCTTGGCAGGCGGGTTGGCAACTGCAGTTAGACTTTGGTAATGTTTTAAGAAAAATGCTGCTGCCCATCTCTCGACCAATAAGCATGTAAAATGATTCAACCATAGATATTGATTTCTGTTAGATATAGCACCTGTTTGTGTATTTTTTTTTTTCGTTTCTAATAATTGTTTATATTTAAAAAATTTAAGGATATAATATACACTCTTTTAAATAGATGTTGCAGCATCTTGTACATGCTCATTTGACGATAAATTTTTCAATTCTGTGTTCTTACATAAAAAGTTCACAGGATGTCTAAGAATAGC